ATTATTATTATTAATATTATTATTATTATTATTATTATTATACCATAATAATAGTGATAATGACAATAGTAATAATAACAACAGTAATACAAATAAAGAATAGAAATAATAATAACGATGATAATAATTATAATGACGATGATGTTAATAATGATGATGATAATAATAATAGTAATAATAATAATAATAATAATAATGCTGATAAAACAACTACAAGAATAATAATAAAAATGAGAGTAAGGATGAAAGGTATTATTATTAGTATTATTATTATCATTATTATTATTATCAGCAGTAGTAGTAGTAGCAGTATCTTCATCATTATTATTATTATTATTATTGTTATTATTATTATCATAATGATGATGATAATGATTGATGATGATGATAATAATAATAATAGTTATATAATAATGATAATAATAATAATAATAATAATAATAACAACAACAATACTATTAATAATAATGGTGATGATAATGAAAATGATAATAATAATGAAAAAAATATAACAATAATAATGACAATGGCAATAATGGTAATAATAATAATAATAATAATAATAATAATAATAATGATAAATAATAATAATAATAATAATAAACAATAATAATAATAATAATAATAATAATAAATAATAATGATAATAATAATAATGATAATAATAATAATAAATAATAATAATAATAAATAATAATGATAATAATAATAATAAATAATAATAATGATAAATGATAATAATGATAATAATAATAATGATAATTATGATAACAAACAACAAAAATAAGAATTATGATAATAATAGTAGTAATAGTGATGATGATGATGATAATGATAATGATAATGATAATGATAACAATAATAGCAATGGTAATAGTAATAATAATAATAATAATAATAATGATAATAATAATAATAATAATAATAATAATAATAATAATAATAATAATAATAATAATAATAATAATAATAATAATAATAATAATAATAAATAATAATAATAATGATGATTATGATAACAATAATGATAATGTTAACAATGATAATAATAATAACAATGATAATACTAATAAAACTGATGATAATAATAATGATAAAAACAATAATAATAATAACAATAATAATAATAACAATAATAACACTATTAGTAAGAATGTTAATAATGATAATGGTAATAATAATAATAATAGAAATAATAATGATAACAATTAAAATGACAAGAAAATGCTAGTAGTAAAAACAATAATGACTTCAGTCCAATAATCTTAAGATTATTACTCAATACAAAAGCTTTAAACATCAATCACAAAATAAAGTTAAAATCATGAACCGGTTCACGAAATCAATATTATTTAAGGATGAAGATAACTGCAGAAATATGGATTTAAAATCCTTTTATCCCACAAATAATTGAATGGCATTAGCACATAGATGATATGAAAATGTTCAAAGAGTATATACAAAATAAATGAAAAGGAGAACTTATAAAACTAACAGATAACAGATAATTACAGGAAACTCTATATCCTTAATTAAATTCCTTAAACCACGTAAGCTCTCACTCCTTTTCCCAAGTCAGTCATTACACTTTGAAGCAAAATAACTATAGATAAACTGAAATGAGCTAAGATATGTAAAATGAAGCAAGCTAACCACAGCATACAAACACACGCAAAAATTATAATCTTTGCTGAGGAAAATGATATTGGCAGTTAATTTCGCTCATGAAGGACTTTCGCAACGAGACATTAAGTCCCTTGTTTCTGTTCTTTTACGTTAATGTAAATGTTTTACTCGTGATTTTTCTTGACTAGATTTTGAGGTACTATGTAATATTAATATATAAAGCTACGCAACACACAGTCCATTTTATCGACCTTTTCCTTCTGCGAGATAAATACCAACTGACTTAATTCGCGGACTTCACCTAATTGCCCCAAAACTCCCCCTTGCCCGCGTGGTCCAAAACTCCCTCTTGCCAGCGTGGTCCAAAACTCCCCCTTGCCAGCGTGGTCCAAAACTCCCTCTTGCCAGCGTGGTCAATTAAATAGTCTTCCATTATACCCGGTTTTCCCTTTGGCGGCGCTTGAAAACAGGGACGCGACAAGGTATTTGGCCAAGTACATACACCTTGGTATAAACTTGGTATAAACAAATAGCAAATGACACGATCATAAACTAGTCTAATTCGTAATAATAAGGCATAAAATGAAATAACACCAGTAAAGAATTAATTAACGATTGTTTCAAGTCTTTCTCCAATGAAGTCGGTCACTTATCAGGGAAATAATACTTTAGGTCATTCCTCATTACTTATGTGAGCACCTGATTAGCGGCATATCTATTTATAATTAGGATAAAATACTAAGTGTGTGTGTGTGTGTGTGTGTGTGTGTGTGTGTGTGTGTGTGTGTGTGTGTGTGTGTGTGTGTGTGTGTGTGTGTGTGTGTGTGTGTGTGTGTGTGTGTGTGTGTGTGTGTGTGTGTGTGTGTGTGTGTGTGTGTGTGTGTGTGTGTGTGTGTGTGTGTGTGTGTGTGTGTGTGTGTGTGTGTGTGTGTGTGTGTGTGTGTGTGTGTGTGTGTGTGTGTGTGTGTGTGTGTGTGTGTGTGTGTGTGTGTGTGTGTGTGTGTGTGTGTGTGTGTGTGTGTGTGTGTGTGTGTGTGTGTGTGTGTGTGTGTGTGTGTGTGTGTGTGTGTGTGTGTGTGTGTGTGTGTGTGTGTGTGTGTGTGTGTGTGTGTGTGTGTGTGTGTGTGTGTGTGTGTGTGTGTGTGTGTGTGTGTGTGTGTGTGTGTGTGTGTGTGTGTGTGTGTGTGTGTGTGTGTGTGTGTGTGTGTGTGTGTGTGTGTGTGTGTGTGTGTGTGTGTGTGTGTGTGTGTGTGTGTGTGTGTGTGTGTGTGTGTGTGTGTGTGTGTGTGTGTGTGTGTGTGTGTGTGTGTGTGTGTGTGTGTGTGTGTGTGTGTGTGTGTGTGTGTGTGTGTGTGTGTGTGTGTGTGTGTGTGTGTGTGTGTGTGTGTGTGTGTGTGTGTGTGTGTGTGTGTGTGTGTGTGTGTGTGTGTGTGTGTGTGTGTGTGTGTGTGTGTGTGTGTGTGTGTGTGTGTGTGTGTGTGTGTGTGTGTGTGTGTGTGTGTGTGTGTGTGTGTGTGTGTGTGTGTGTGTGTGTGTGTGTGTGTGTGTGTGTGTGTGTGTGTGTGTGTGTGTGTGTGTGTGTGTGTGTGTGTGTGTGTGTGTGTGTGTGTGTGTGTGTGTGTGTGTGTGTGTGTGTGTGTGTGTGTGTGTGTGTGTGTGTGTGTGTGTGTGTGTGTGTGTGTGTGTGTGTGTGTGTGTGTGTGTGTGTGTGTGTGTGTGTGTGTGTGTGTGTGTGTGTGTGTGTGTGTGTGTGTGTGTGTGTGTGTGTGTGTGTGTGTGTGTGTGTGTGTGTGTGTGTGTGTGTGTGTGTGTGTGTGTGTGTGTGTGTGTGTGTGTGTGTGTGTGTGTGTGTGTGTGTGTGTGTGTGTGTGTGTGTGTGTGTGTGTGTGTGTGTGTGTGTGTGTGTGTGTGTGTGTGTGTGTGTGTGTGTGTGTGTGTGTGTGTGTGTGTGTGTGTGTGTGTGTGTGTGTGTGTGTGTGTGTGTGTGTGTGTGTGTGTGTGTGTGTGTGTGTGTGTGTGTGTGTGTGTGTGTGTGTGTGTGTGTGTGTGTGTGTGTGTGTGTGTGTGTGTGTGTGTGTGTGTGTGTGTGTGTGTGTGTGTGTGTGTGTGTGTGTGTGTGTGTGTGTGTGTGTGTGTGTGTGTGTGTGTGTGTGTGTGTGTGTGTGTGTGTGTGTGTGTGTGTGTGTGTGTGTGTGTGTGTGTGTGTGTGTGTGTGTGTGTGTGTGTGTGTGTGTGTGTGTGTGTGTGTGTGTGTGTGTGTGTGTGTGTGTGTGTGTGTGTGTGTGTGTGTGTGTGTGTGTGTGTGTGTGTGTGTGTGTGTGTGTGTGTGTGTGTGTGTGTGTGTGTGTGTGTGTGTGTGTGTGTGTGTGTGTGTGTGTGTGTGTGTGTGTGTGTGTGTGTGTGTGTGTGTGTGTGTGTGTGTGTGTGTGTGTGTGTGTGTGTGTGTGTGTGTGTGTGTGTGTGTGTGTGTGTGTGTGTGTGTGTGTGTGTGTGTGTGTGTGTGTGTGTGTGTGTGTGTGTGTGTGTGTGTGTGTGTGTGTGTGTGTGTGTGTGTGTGTGTGTGTGTGTGTGTGTGTGTGTGTGTGTGTGTGTGTGTGTGTGTGTGTGTGTGTGTGTGTGTGTGTGTGTGTGTGTGTGTGTGTGTGTGTGTGTGTGTGTGTGTGTGTGTGTGTGTGTGTGTGTGTGTGTGTGTGTGTGTGTGTGTGTGTGTGTGTGTGTGTGTGTGTGTGTGTGTGTGTGTGTGTGTGTGTGTGTGTGTGTGTGGCACCACAAGTCTAATTTATAAGTTTGAATAAATAAAAACTGGGTAAATAAATATGAAGTTAGACAATGGTATTAAACGTGTTATGGTAAATAGTAACAGTTTAACGCAACAAATAAAATTCAAAACACGTAATCCACCTCTCTACTAAAGCAATAAGTTTACACGTAAAATAATACACCGTGAAACAAAACATACTTGAAAAGAATGAAATAAAATGTAGTAGAAAAAATATATATCAATAGAAAAATTAAAATAAATACGTGCACTTTTTACAAGAACATTGCTTTCCTCCAGGTAAGGATCTCAAACTGAGTGACAAACTGAATTATTATAATGACAAATTAATAACATTTTTATGCAGGAAATAGCAAATGAATATAACAACACGGTTAAATACAAGTAACACAACCCATAAATACCATGGAAGCTCTATCTTCACCAGTAAATATGATAATGACGTATTAATATATAAACGCATATTTCCCTAGAGAGCGAAATATATAAATAACCAAATCATACGAAATTCATCTTACCCCCCAGACACAAAATACATAAATAAATACAAGTCAACCAGACAACCAAACCATCAGCCCCCTTTGAGCTTCCCTAC